CGCATCTTAGATCTGCTCTTAAACAGAATAAACACCAACCATCCAGCACTTCTGAGCACATCTTGTGGTGAAAGCCTGTGCTCATTGTTAGGATGACCAATGCAGACCACTGTAGAAACTGTCCCACCAGCAGACGAGATGCCAGTATAGCGGGGCAGAGGTTGTGCTGAATACAGAGGCCTCTCTGTGGTCCACTCGAAGGAACAGCATCTGAGAGAGTGGCACCTCTGCATATCCACACCCAGCATGTTTCTGTTAACACTGCATTGTTTTAATGCTTCTTTAAAAGGTGCTTGTGGACCTTTCAGATTGTTCACCGAGTTTCATATGCTTTGGTGACCATCTGCAGCATTGACATCAGCATGCGTGGCCCCTGGGTAACGCATGAATAGACTGCCAGGTCACACCATGACTCCTGGGGAGGTGCCTCCCATATTCTGCCCGCAGTTTTCTAGTCTGAGGCTCACACTCATATTTGTGGGTTAAAGGATTTTCAAAATATGCGTCCAGTTACCTATGTAGGGTTTTATTGTGGCTTTCTTTTAAATAGGAAAGTGAGCAAATTCAACTTTCCTTGAGAAGAAAAAAATAATGTTCCCACCTTCCTTTCACCCATGATTTGAGCCCTAAAACAGCAGCCATTGTATTTTTGGCAGGATTCCTGGAACTTTTTGCTTGTGGCAATCCTGCTATCAGCCATCCTGAACAGATGCCTCTGGTATTTTTTCCTGGAAGAGCAGACATCCTTTGGGATACCAGTAATGCCAGGCAAAGCACAGGGCCAGAAGGGGACTGTGTCATTTTTGCCCCCAGTCCAGTGTTTGTCTAACAGGCTATTCTCATTTCTCTCCAAAACCAGAAATGACTATTATTTTTTTTTAATTGAGTTTTTACCTTATGTGTTAACAACTGGATTTTCAAAAACCTAAAATGGCATTTTTGATACTTGTGGGGGTTTTTTTGGGGTTTTTTTTACCCCCAGGGTTTTTTCTTTAATTTGCAGTTTTTGTTGGGGTGTAGTTTTTCGGAGTCTACTCTAGATTTTTACAGCTCCATTTCTCTGCTGCATTCATGAAGCATCAGTGCCAGGTGACACAAGTCCTGTGCCTTCTTGCCTTGCCTCTGCCCTGGCCCAGCTTCTGCAGTCACATAGGAACGAGTGTGGGGTGGCCTGGGCTGTGCTGAAGGTGATCACAGATGCCTCGTCCTGCCCTAGGGCCATGCACGAGAGCCTGTCAGACTTCATGACTTGCTGTTAGTGGTGCCCTGTGTTTCTGCTGTAAAGGGTTTCAAAATTGGATCCCATTGTGCTTAAAATTTTGGCACCAGCTCTGAAGGGCAGAAGAACCCATTCTCAGTAAAACTAATTCAGATAACAGCAGAAACATTAGACAATTCTGTATTGGATTTTACCACCTTGGCTTTTACTAGTGAAAGAAATTTAAATATATTTTTTTCCTTAACTGCTGTTAATTCTCATTGGGAAACATAATTGAGGTTTTTACAGATACCCACTTAACTAAATAGAATTTTTTAAATGTCTGGGGTGTTTTAAAATGGTAAAGATTGCAGAATCTTAAGTTACAGAAAACTATTTCATCAGCAAATGTCAGATGAAGTGATATGAACCTGACAGTGTTTTCTGGGCCTCTTATGCTGTGTTGGGTCCCTTCCATGTGTGTTTGCTCCTCATTGAAAACAGTGCAGACTTTATCAAGAAAGTAAAAACTGTGGGCTTATGATGATTCTTATAGAGTGACAACTCTGAGATCAAAGGTCATCAGGAGCTGCCTGTCCAGCTCTGAGAAACTGCTTTTCGGGAACTACAATTATTGCACTTGAGTCTCTAAATAAGCCTGAAAAATATCCTAGGTAATGGTGTGGACTGGTTTAATTTGACTATCAGGCCACCAATAGAACTTTTTTTTCATCTTTATTTCTCAGATAAAAGTAAGTTTGTTATAAACACAGGATTTTAAGCAAGTAAAAAATCCATTCCTATTTTTATACATTGCCAAGCTTTTTCATATACCTACAGAGCTAACAAATTATAACTGATGTAATCCCACAGATCTTATTCAAGGTTAGACCGACTGAACCAGTACAATCCTGTATGATTATAGGTATGATGACTTGATTTCAACAAAACAGGTGTAATAATTTGAGTTATATGCTTGATGAGAGAATGACTATTGCTTTAAAAAAAAAAAAACCCCAAAACCTTTAGATTGCAAGTAACTCCGGCACTTTTTAAGAACATACACTTTATATTTGTATGAAGCAGAGTACCCCTAGCTCTGTAGGAATATATGATCTCACAAAGTTGAGATTAGCTCCAAAGAGAAGTACCAGTAGAACAGAATTAAATGTTTACTGTCTCTTAAAATTTTCCTTTTAACATTCAGTGAGAACATTCCAATCTGTCCCACAAAGCCAAGTAAGTGCTCAGTTCTTGTGCCCTCAGAAGGTCTGGATGTAAACCTGAAATTTAGCTGTAGAATAAACTTGCTAATAAGTAAAAAACAAAACAACATACTTGAGAAACACTTGAAATCAGATCCACCGGTTGGCTTGTTCAAGTAAGAGGAAACAATTCTTGCTGTAACCCCTAGTGCCTTGAACTATTTTGGCAGAGTAGCATTTGAAAAAAAAAAAAAAAAAAAATCCAACAAGCAAACTTTGAGGTGCTAATGAAAGTGAAGAAAGGTGGTGAGTATTTCTAGTTTTGGGAAGAAATGGAAAGTGACCAACTCACGAGAGACTTCACTCTCTCTTCAGACTGAGCGGGGTCTGGTGGCTTTCTACCAAAGACAGAATTCACGTGAAGCGAGTCAGGATGGCTGAGGCTTGAAGTGGACCCACTGCTCACAGATGGCCACTGACAGCACGCTCATGACTGCCGAGGCCTCAATCTCTTAGGCAGTAAAATATGTCTGCAGCACTTAAGGGGAAAAAACCCTTGCATTTTGGAAACTGTCCATTGTTAAGTTTATTGTAACCAAATACCAAAAACTGCCATTTTTCATGATTCTCCACCTCCTAATTTTTTTTCTCTACTTGTAAATAATCTCTCCTAGAAAATAAGCATTAACTGGAATGTTTCAAATGATTTTGCTTAATTTTACCATCATCCACTAATGAACTCTTCTTACACAGAGATGTACATTTCAGATAAAATGTCAGCGTGCGCTAAGTGGTGTTTACTGTTTTAAAGGAAAATTGCACAATATATTTAACTGGGATTGCTCCCTCTTGTCCCCATTTCTTTAAAAAAAAAAAAAAAAAAAACGGGGCTCACACTGACTTCTAAGCCGTGAGAGCTTTGCCATCAATAGATACATGTAGAAATATACTTCTTTAAAGCATGAAAAAGATACAGGAACTGCATTATAAAGTACGGGATAGAGGACCTTATTCAGAGGATTATGCACAGCTCAGTAAAGATGAAGTTACCATTTTTCTTTCAGCTTTGCTGCTGTTATTTCTTCTGCATAAATATGTGCTCCCATTTCATCACGTGCCTTGCTCCCTGATTGTGCAGAGCTATATAGAGAAATATATATGAGAGAGATATATTCAGTACTACTGATGATGTTTTTGTTCTGCTGGATTAAGTTATTTTCCAAGTTACTCTTGCCAGTTACTGTCAGTAAAGTATTGTAACGGCTTAGAACAGCAGTCGTGCAGTTAGTGTCAATTTGTTTTTCAGTTACATGTTTTCATCATGTCATCCTACCCATCCTTAATAAAAAGAAAAAAATTCCTAGATTTCATTTAAACATGGGGACTTGACTTGAGTGTTTGTCGATCGGCATCACTGACACCTGGTCTTGCTTTTTGTGTTGGAGACCTAAAAATAGGCCGAACAAAACTTGAACAAATAAAGTATGAAGAGTAAACTACAATGTTCAATGAAACTTGTAAGACTTTATGTAACACACTAAGAAGCTTGGCCATCAAATGCATTAGCGGTAAGAAAGTGGCAATAGCTTTTAAAGATTTTGTTATTTCTTTAAAACAAAACTTAGGTACCAACTAGTATAAAATGGAATGCTTTCTGTGTCAAAGCTTTGGAGTCACAATTATGTGCTGGATGGCTATGTGAGGGTGGGTATAAAGGCATATATCACTTACTGTCATACCAAACTAGGCCAGAAACTTGGAGCCCTTCGCCTGCACTTGGCATCTGCCAGGCCCACCTGGCTGTGGGAGCCATACCTCACCTGTACAGTGAGCACAGGCTAATGCAACAAACATACCTCCAAAGCCAGAACTTTTCAACCAAATGTGTGATTCCAAGTAGCGTAATAGGAGTCAAGTACTAGGTTAATGAACAAGTTATTGGATAAATATCTTTGAGATAGAACTGCTCTTGTGCCTAAAATTCCCTGTTCATAAATAAATCTCTTTTGGAAAGACTCCTTTGGAATGGAAATGCATTTGCGGGGTTTTCCACACCACGTTACCAGTGACGCCCAAAAGAGAAAGGCACAGAGGGAGTAAGATGGCTGGGAAGGCAGGAAAAGCTGAAGCATTATTCTTGCGTTTCATGGAGACAAGCTTGGTGTATACTGTTACCCTCAAATGCATTAGAAAACTCTTGTAGTCAATTTATAACCTAGGCTCTTAGCCAACAAAGGCACGATTTTTTAAATTCACCTCTCACCAGTCTGCAATACTTTTTAGTCAATATCCATCCTCAAGGTTTGAGAAATTTTTACATGAAGAGACATGCTTGGAGGAAAGTGGTAAGAAAACTCCGGTTCACTTATAGCACAAATAGGGTTAGAAAACAGTTCATTTGAACAGCAGTGTAGAAGGAAAAAGTAAAGATCGAATTTAACATTTTAAAAATGTAAATGTCTAATAAGCTAGACTTCAGTAATATAAAGCAGCTCTCTGGTTTGGAGCACCAGGAAAGCCAAAGCTTATCCTTACTACTGAAACTTAGAAAACACCTTAGAAAGAGGATATTTAACACAAATAACAAGACACTCGAATATACTTTGTGGGGATTTATTGAGGTCAAGTTCTTAGTACACAGCAACGATTAATTCCAAATACAATTAAAAAATTAAAAAGTGAACGTTCCCCACTCATCTGGAGGTGGTTGGATGGCACACAAGGAACATCACCGGCAACAGACGGCTCCCTCATGCTTTCCTGAATGGTATTCACTCCTTTCATAACACCACTGGCTCTCCCTCGGGGAGCTGAAAGTACTACTGGCCAGATCACACACTGCTTATATTCTTTTTTGTAAACCATTTTAAGAAAAATGGTACATGGATACAAAATGTGATAAAAACTGCTTTTCCATAGAATTCTGAAGTTGCAAAAGAGGTTTCATTTTAATGTGAAAATAAGCTTTATTATTATTTTTTTACAAAAAAACCTTAAGATATTTAGCAAGGATCATTTATACACAGCTAGGCCCTGTCATTTCATTCACAATTTTTTTTTTTAGATCTGTGAGATTCTCAATAAAATAGGAACAAAGAACAGCATAAAGAATAAACAAAGGTAACAGCTCAATGCCTCCATTTAGTAACTTTTATAAGGCTCTCAAATAAGGCTGTTTGCTATGCTGTGCTCCTGCTAGTGTTGAACTAACAGGATACATTTTTACTCCACATACCTTACGGAAGAATGTTTATGCTGAGTGAAGTTTCAAGGGGGCAAATAAGATTATTTTCACTAATTAAGGTTGCACTTAGTACACTCCTTTAAGCAATTCTGTTGGCACATCTTTTTAAGTATATTCCCGAAAACATCAAGTAGAACTCTTAATTTATAAAGAAAAATACAGCACATTTAAGACAGTTGTAGTGCAGGAAAGCGTACTGGGCATGCAGTCAGAAGCTCTAACTTACTACAGCTCTTCTCTGCAAGGTAACATCTCGCCTCATCAGCCACGTGAAATAGCACTTTAAAATCCCATCTAGCTGTAAAACCCTGTAATTCTAAGTAGGTCATGTGGGAGGAATTGCCACCTTCACACCAGTTAAGAGGTCCTGGCCAAGATGTCCGTGAGTGGACAGATCCCCCACTCCAAAGATCTGGCAGTCGCCTATCAAGTCCTCCATCAAACCTTTTCAAAAGTAAAGACGGTCTTCAGGACTTGCCATGCTCTCTCCATGGAGGAGAAAAGAAAATAAGAGCAGATCTTAATGCAGAAGGGTTACCTACTAAAAGAAAATGAACACAAAATGATAAAAGTAAACTATCATTTCGGTGCCTCCCAAACAAAAATCTTCAGGAATTCTCTTTAATCCACATACAACTCACTAAGGAGCACAGCAGCACCACAGGCATTACCGTGAAGGTGCATAAGCATTCCCTCTAGCTGGACTAGAACAGCAGTCTGAGGAAGGAGAAGGGGATGAAATGTTCCTCACCCTTTAGGAGCTGCAAAATTAGCAAGCCCTTTCCCCGGTAAGATGGGGATAGCAAATGCCTCTGAGGGAGAGAGGAGCAAGTAGCCAAAAGATGTAAAATATTAAGACAGCTGGAAAGACTCGTTCCAAACAGCAGGCTAGATGGCTCAGGTCTCAATTTCAACACATTGGCACTATTTTTGTTTCCTATTTATTGCCTTTGGACATAAGGTCAAAGACAACAAGAAAATGTATTTTCATTCATAGCCCCATGGTCTTTCGAGTATTAACAGCAAAAAAGACAACTGTTCAGTCACTCCTTTAAAGGGGGGGGGTGGACACACAGTCTCACACACACTTCTGGAGGGAAGAACCCTTCCCCATACCCTCCATCCTGAGGAAATGGCTGCTTCCTGGTCAGGAGATTTTACAGTTGGGTCATCTTTGCTACAATGTTAATAGTATAGAGGTTGCTAAGACCTTCTGAATTCATTTGTAACTCCTAATACCAACCATCTTTTAGTTTACAAAAAGATAAACGAGGGAAACTTACAACAAAACAGGAAATACCCTCACAAGCTGTTAATAGCATGCAACCTATGAAATACTACACACATTAAAGTCTCCATTACCTCAGGCCATGACCATCCTCATTATATGGTATCCTTCCAAGACAATCTACAGAATTCAAAACTGTACAGAAATTTTAAAATATGCAGAAAATTCAACAGGTATTGTTTGTAAAACAAAAGCCACACACACATTAGTGCGAAATAATAAAGAACCTTGGCTGACTCATGAATCCCCCACTGCAGTTCTTCCAGACAAAGGATGTGTCCAGTGTCCTCCGCAGTCCAGCAGGGCTCCCCAGCCCGCCGCGCTCCTGCCAAAGGTCCCCACCTCTACTGCAGCTGTCTCCTCTGCTTCTGTAGTGGTGAGCTGTGAGAACTATTTTGTGGATTTCAAAACACTCTGCCTCAATAATCCACTCAGCTTTCTCAGCAAAAAGCCATTTAAATAACTGGAACATCTAATTTTAAAACTGCATTCCTGGCTATATGCCGGTGCTAAGAAGAGCTCAACCTATCCCAGCATGGTCTACTCTGAACCCATAATGGAGCTCAAGGCTTAGAGGACACCCGGGGCCATTACTCTGCAGGAAAAGAAGGAATAAGTGGCACAGAGGAAAACAAAGTGGGGAGTGTACTGCAGGCAAGTCAATGCAAGCAAGAGCAGCAGAGCTGAGAAAACCTAAAAGCAAAATAGCTACTCGCGATGTGTTTTAAAACTGCAACTTTAAAACAAAAAAGGGTCCTGATTAGGAAACTCTAGGTGGGCTACAGCTCAGACAACAGACTTACAAGTGGAATGTTACCTTCTGCCACACTTCTGAGGTTCCTCACACAATACCACATGCATTCGTCTCTCAGCCAGTCCCCATCTGAACTATTCCACCACGTTCTAGGCCGACGACATGTGACATGCATGCAGCTGCCACCTATCCCTTTCACCCAGGTAGGTGCTACCTGGCCAAGCCCTGGAGCTGCACAACACCACAGCCTCCACCCACAGAGGGCAGGCTGCCAGAGTCTCCTCAGTGTTCATTCTCCCGATGACAGTCATGACCATTAACCCAACTGCCCTACCAACACCACTGAATCTGAAGCTGTGATTACTGTTCAGATGGGGATTCTTTTTGTTATTGTTCTCTCAAAGTGATATTAATTTTTATCAGTGATTGGGTAAGTATTTTGGCCTGTTACCCTTATCCCAAAATTATGTTCTTACTCGGAGATATTAGGGTCAAACTCTTACTAAGTGCAGCTACTTGAGTCTAGCCACACAAAATCAGGAGAGTGCTGACCTTTTCTAGACTTGAGTGAGTAAATGGCCCAGCAGCAACGAACCTTGGCCAGTAACAACATCCAGCGAGCACAGGCACAAGCCTCTCATTTCCAGTGACTGTAATGAAATTTGAAATACCCACTGTTCTCTTCTAAAAACAAACTGCTTTTCTAAATAGTGAAAGAACTGATAGTGATAGTTGGTCTTACCTCCAAGAGCCTGCTCTTCAAAACACCTAAGCAGGGCTGCAGGATGCCGCTGAGAACTTTTCTATGGGTCAGGCCCCTCAGAGCCATGAGAACCTCACGACTGGCTTCACATACCTGCCTCCGCCTATTCACGAGCTACACGTTTCACGCCAGACCTCAGAGACAATGCCATCACAGACAGCGCACAGAAAGCACTGTGGCCGCTGTGAAGCCTCCTCCACAGTTCACCCACCTTCCCATCTACCAACGGAGCCACATGAAGGGATGCCAGTGCGTCCAGCAGTACACCGCTTGGTGCACCCGGATGCTGAGAGAATGCAGAATTTGCGGTGTTAAAGAGGGGGAAAGCCACTTGAAGTGATTGTAAAAATGGCTAAGTATGCTATCTAAACACTAAGTCCCTCCTCTCCATACGAGTGAAAGAAAATGAAGGGCTGGGGTTCCCCACCGGGTCACGAGACCAGCCCCTTAGCAAAGGCAACGAGGAGCAACCAGTGCCACAGGCGCTACAGGAGAGACCCCAAGGGTGCGCGGTTTTCCTGAGAAAGATCCCAGATTTTTATGAATGGGTCTTAATCTGACTTGTTTTAGCTACAGGTTATGTTGTACCTCTGACCTATTCAGAAATAGTCACTTTATTTCAATCCAAACAGCTCAGCATAGTACAAATATTGGCAGAAAGATCCATTTGTTCAGACTCAGCTTGCTTTTTTGTTTTAATACTGGGCAATAAACCAAAAAAAAAAAAAAAAAAAAAGTAGTTTTTATCATTTGTATCCTTCATTCTGTTTTACTGGAGTGGAATCCCCAGGGCCTTGAAATAATCTGGGAAGACCTGACCGTCCCGTGGGGGAAGCACAGCTTGAAGAGCTTACTCAGAATAGTGCATGATGGACTCCACATAATTCCCAGGGAACAGCCCAGTCACTCCGTTCATAACGCCCTCATACCAACCATCGTCGTTCTTCTTGATGACATAAATAATGGCTCCTTCCTGAAAGGACAGCTCATCTTCCTTGTCTTTTGTATAGTCATAAATCGCCACAACTAGGGAGGAAAAAAATAAGATAGACTGTGAAAGAGAATAATATTCCTAGAAAGACTGAAACAAATGAGTACATATCCATTTCCTTTCCCAACTTCTGCAGCACTCAAGCATGGTGACTTGTGACTTTCTAAATAATCACCAACGAAAAAATATATATCTTTTTTCTTTTTTTTTTTCTAACTACTAACCAGTGCTATCCAATGGCATCACATTTTCTGGGGGAGGTTGGGTTCTAAATTGAGTACAAATGGTGAAAAAACATAGTTAGTCAATCTTCCCCTTCAAGAGCCTATGGGAAAGCACCTCACTGAAGAGAGATACATAACCCCAGAGTCAAGAAAATGCTTCTTCATTTGAGCCTATGTTGAGGCACTATATTGTGTAAAAAGAAAAATGCTTTCTTTTAAATATTAGAATTATACTAGTGCAGTGAGATACACTATGAGGAACAAGTGAGAAGACAGTCTAAGGGAATAGCAGATTTATGTCTCCTTCCTCATACTTTCTGGGGCCTATGCCTATTCACTGGGTAGAATGGTGGTTGAATTCCCACAAGTTATATGTGTAAATGAGGGGAATCCACTAAATATATTCTTTCAAAACATATGCTGCATTATGTCACCAATTTAATATAATCACAATAACAGACTAAAAGTGTCAAGAAAACCAAGACACCTGTAACCTCTCCTGTGATCTTCATTGCTTAAATCAGTGGTCTTCAACCTTTTTGGCATCAGGGACCAGTTTCATGGAAGAAAATTTCTCCATGGAATGGGGTGGGGGGAGCGTGGTTTTAGGATGATTCAAGTGCATAACATTTATTGTGCACTTTATTTCTATTATTATTACACTGTAATATATAATGAAACAATTATACTATTCACCATTTAAAAAGGCACAGATGGAAGTGGTAAATAAAATAACGGGCAGGCCATGTATGGACTAAAATAAGTGTCAGATTCTGACTTAAATCCTGCCACCAGATGCAGCTGTACAACTGAAGTACATCAACTCACTTGCCACTCACAGATAGGCTGCAATCAACTGGTTTATTATAGTCTCTGTGCAGCGAAACCTTACTGTTAATGTTAACTGTATTTGCAGTTGCTCCCCAACCCCAGCGTCACCACCTCAGCTCCACCTCAGATCATCAGGCATTAGATTCTCAAAAGGAGCATGCAACCTAGATCTCCTTGCAGTGCAGTTCACAGTAGGGCTCGCACTCCCAGCAGGCAGAGCTCAGGTGGTAATGTGAGCAATGGAGAGCAGTCGTAAATACAGGTGAAGCTTTGCGTGCTCACCCACCGCTCACCTCCTGCTGTGTGCCCTGATTCCAAACAGGCCACCAACCACTACCAGTCCATGGACTGGGGGTTAGGGACCCCTGGCTTAAATCACTTGGTAACTGGATGCTTTCAATCATTATCTCAGATGATCTCTGATCCTAAGTATTACATCTCCCTCAACATCTTAGTTACACTGGGATAACTTACAACTTGCTCAGATCCACTTGGAGAATCTCTTTAATCCCTGTATCTTTTTTTTTAACCACTCAGAATTTCACTCAGTGAAATCATCTATCTACTGTTCCAAGAAGCATATACCATCAACCCTATGTCTCACAAAAATAAAAGAGAAACTAACCACAACAGGGACTTATTATATAATGCAACTGACCCTACTTCAAGAAAATGTGTTTCTGGCCTGCTTTAGTAAAAATTTAATAGCTTCCTTAAACTGTGAGGGTTTTCCATTGTAGTGATGCCAGAAAATGTGTTAGAGAGTTCAAGCTAGGAGAGTTCAGTGTGTATTTCTCAAAATAAAACCAAATGCCTGAACACAATAAATGTAAGTAAATGACATGCAAGTTTATAAATGTAAGAGAATATGTATATAATATTTAGCATTTCTAACATTTTCTAGCTTTTTTTTTTAAAGGAAAGAACATTCTTGATGCTTACAGAAATGCAAACACACTGGAAAGTAATTCAGAAGAAAGTATGAAAGCTGTCACAAAAAAGACTAGAAAGTTATTAAGCTCTACAAGGTCTGACAATTAAGTTCACAAACTCGCCACCACACGCTTACGTTGGCAGCACTGTACAAACAAATAGGTAAGGTTTCATAACCTTGACATATCAGTGTCTCACAGCTGTGTTCATGTCAACGTGTGGCGGCGGTGTCACTATCATTGCAAGTTTTTGTGTGCCATTGCCAGATGTTGGAGCTTGAATTAGAGCAACAAACAAACATTAAATTCCTTGTTAAACTTGGCAAGAGTGGAAGAAGAATCAGGGAGGTGATATTCAGCAATGAGGTATGTCGCACTTTTTCTAGGATGAGTTGGCAAACTTAATTGTCAGATCCCCAAGTTTATGGGGATAATGCCATAAAGAAAACAGCAGTGTACAAGTGTATTAAACATTTTTCTGAGGGGAGAGAAAGTGTCATTGATGGAGAGAGGTCAGGACGGCCAGTTACAAGCAGGACTGATAAAAACACTGCAAAAAATTTGTCAAATTGTGCATCAGAATCTTCGGCTCTCAGAAGCATAGCAGACCAAACAAACGTCAAGAAACAGGAAAATCTTAACTGAAAATCTTAGCACGAGAAAGGTGTGTGCAAAATGGTGCCAAAGGAGCTCTTGCACCATGACAATATACCAGTTCACACAGCACTGTCTGAGAGGGAGTTTTTAGCCAGTAAACAAGTAACTGTATTGGAACACCACCCCTATGTAACTGATCTGGCCCCCAATGACCTTTTTCTTTACCTGAAGATAAATAAAATATTAAAGGAGAACATTTTGATGACATTCAGGGCATTAAGGATAATATGATGACAGCTCTGATGGCTATTCCAAAAAAAAGAGTTCTAAAATTGCTTTGACAGGTGGACCAAGTGCTGGCGTTTGGTGCACAGCTTCACAGGGGGAGTACTTCAAAGGTGACCATAGTGATATTCAGCAATGAGGTATGCTGCACTTTTTCTAGGATGAGTTGGCAAACTTAACTGTCAGATCTCATATGTACACCCATTTTCTTCTTTAAAATGTAGAAACTGGATTAAACAGAATATGATTCCAGGGATTCTGTTTATAGTGGTACTGAGCTGAGAGTCTTAACAACTGTTAAACCTTTTTTCTCTTATCAAAATTAGGGATGACTATTATGAAATTAACTGCTTTTTTAAAACAAAAATATATGTTGTTAAGAATATTCATTCTTGGCCAGGCTCGGTGGCTCAGCCTGTAATCCCAGCACTTTGGGAGGCCGAGGTGAGTGGATTGCCTGAGCC